GAGCCCACAGTGGGCAGAACAAGGAGAGCTCCTGGACCAGCTTGCTAGAGAGAAGAGCTACACCCATACGGATATGTGAAAGAACAAAAAATAGAACCATAGTGGACAAGCTAGTTGAACTGTGCAGGTCCAATGGAGAGCGGTCTTACTAAAAACTCTCAGCACAAGAGGCCCTTTGGGAGGAGTAGGGAACGTCCAAAAAAGGGTGAGACTGACAGCGTCCAAGGCCTCGGAGAGGTCGAGAAGGGTGAGGATGGAGAAGGCATTGATTTCACCATTAAGAGCTCCCTTAATGTGACGACATCGGTCACCTCGTCAGGTTTCTCCCCCTGGCCCTCCTGGCGTCCTGGAGTCCCAGGGAGAGGAGGCTTCCTGGCCTCCATCTCATCTCAGTGAGGGGCACTCGCTGGTGTTGCTGTCCAGGGTCATTCTAGTTGTTGCTGGACCACGAGTTCCCACTAGAGGTCGGGACAAGACAGAGTCACCAGGATATGGTGATAAGGAAGAGGAGAAAGACTGGACGAAATCCAGTGAAGAGTAAGTGCCAGGTGATGAGGAGAGAGTGCATTCCAGGCCTGGGGGTGGAAGCCCACGGAGCAGGAGAGAGAATGTTGTATCCAGAGAGTGCCAGGTGATTTGTCCAAAATGTCAAGGTCAAGGCCCGGGCCGGGCTGTGGAACCTCAGGACATAGGTTGATACCAGATTGAGGAGACCCTTAAATACCACCCTGAGGAATGATAGTAGGGATTGCACAAAGATTTTTTAATGTTCTTTTTTCGAATTCTGCAAATTTAGGATTTGGTGCAAACAACAGAAGGGGCATTTCCCTTCACACAGCAGAACACAAAGTGAAGATTGCATATGAATACTCTCATCTCCATTTAGTTTTAAAAGTACATAATAAATTGCTCACATCCCTTTCAAAACTATCCTGCTCATCTGTGCTCCCTCCTGAGCTTCCTTCTGTTCTCCATTGTGGATTTCTCAGAAACTCCACAGTGGCCCCTTTTTTATACTTCGTTATTGCTACCTCGAGTCTCCCATGACCACCTCCTCACATAAGAGAGAAAAAAGATGAAAAAATAAAAATCCACAACCTTGTAACAAAAAAACCAGGAGTGGGCTGAAGGCTGTCTATTATTACATTGTCAGGGTGAGCATGGACACCTCACAAAGCAGTAAATGCTTCAAATTAGAACCTGATTTATCTTTTGTTTGATTTTCCAGACTGAAGCAAGTGTTAATAATGTGTTTTAAACTTTTAAAACATATACATTTATTTAAATTCTTCCCCTTTTCCCTCTTGTCTACACTAATATATTTTTCCTTTTTCTTTTTTTTTTCTTCTTAAACCCCCCCAGAACAGAACCCAAGCCCACTCAGGACCTGTTTTTCTGGCAGTACACCTTGAAGAAATTAGGGTTCTGATGGGGTAATTGTTTCTTCTCTCCCAACTAGCACATGAGCATTATTTTACCTGCTCTCAACTGCGCGAATAAATTTCCCTTTCTAGGTTTCTCTGCACTCTTGTTCCTCCTCCGTGCCTAATGGCTTCTATTCCATTAAGGAACCTTTTATATTCTTTGCAATCCCAACCATAGTTCATGGGAACAGCCTCCTTCAGGGAGGTTGCAGTATCTAGTTTGATTGTTTATCTCTTTTGTCCCGGGGCTCTGGATTCTGGCTGTGATATTTCTGGGACTTTTCTTTGTGGAGTTTCATTCAGGAGGTAATCTGTGGGTTCTGTATTTATTTGGGTCTCTGGTTCTAATAGGGCCGGGCTGTTTTCATTTCAAATTTCTGGAGCGATAGCGTCCAGGCCTTTTTTTTTTTTTAAATCATGGTCTTCGTGATTTAATGGTCTTCAATGACTCTTGACTTCTCTCTCTGTCGATGGCCTGTTTTCCTGGTCGGTTGTTTTTGCTGTGAGATATCTCCTGTTTTTTGAAATCTTTTGATTTTGTTCTACTATTTCTTGTTTTTGAAGACAGTCCTTGATTTCTATCGGGTCTCCTCTTGTTTCTCAGGTGAGGATTACTGCTCTCTTCTAAGTGACCTTCCCTCAGTTCTTTCTTCAAGAGCTTATTTTAATTCCAAAGGACTCATGATGAAAAATACTACCCACCTCCGGAGAGAAAAAAGATGAACTTGATGAGTGGAAATTAGTATCGATTTTTTTTTTCATTTTTTGGCAACATGGCTGATATGGGAATATGTTTTGCATGATTTCACATTAATAATTCCTATCACATAGCTGCCCTTCTCAGTGGGGAGGGAGGGGATAAAGAGAGAGAAGTTGGAAATAAAAAAAAATTTAAACGTCAAAATAATTTTTAAAACAACTTCTTTGTCACCTCTTGCTTCTTTTCTTCCAGGTATTTATAGGGACTTTGTGGAAAGTCCATTTTTTCCCACGAGTCTCTGCTTGTAGTTCCGAAGTTAGATTTACAATAATTCCTGATACTCTTTGGTGTTTTTTTCTGTCAATATACCATTAGGAGATACCCTGTTCTCCAGAGGCAAGGCCCAGCAAGCAAGCTGTGCCCTGAGCTTGACAGAACCACAGTCCTCGCGCTTGCCTTCTGGACCTGGCGGTCCCCGAGCTCAGGTGAGCCCTGCTGGGAATGGACGTTCTGTCACTGGACAGCCTCACCTCACGGATGCTGCCGTGCGTCACCACCCTTGCTACGCTGCACTGTTTGACTCTTTGTCTAGCCATAACTGTATAAATCAAGGTTCAGCCACCCTGCCTCGGGTCCCCCCACTTGGGTGAGGCCCCAACAACGTGTCCGTGTTTCCAAGCCATTTCCCTCACCTTGAAATTAAATTTCTGTTTCATTCCTGTCTCTCTCGTCTCTAACCTGCTCTGTTCAGCTCCGGCCACCCACGGGTTAGAGGCTGACTCCATTCATTGCCATGAATTGGTGTCAAAAGTGGAATTGGACACAGAACTGGGCCATTGGAGTCTCCAGTACCAGTGGGAAAAGACCAGGTGCTGACAGAGACTTATTTCTTCAGGGTTTGATACCCACTCATCTGGTGAGTCCTCTGCCCTGGTTCCTGCTCCAATTTCCAAGGTCCTGCCTTGGTCAAGCTCACTATTCTTTGTGGGGAAAACTCTGGGGCCCTCCGGTGACCCAACATCTTGGGTCTCTGTGGTAAGGATATACTTTTTTTCACAATCTATTCCTCTATCCAAATGCTCCTGCCTGCTCCATTTAGCTCAGGCTTCAGGACTCTCTTACCTACCTAAGACAACGTTCACTTAACTCCAAACCAGTAAACACATGTGCAGCCATGGACTGTAACTGAGTGCTTTCTTAGAATTGTTTGTGTCTGTTTGTATCTGCCTGGTCCTTTTGTCTGTGTCTGTGTCTTTGTAAAATGTAAAATATCTGTGTCATGTAAAGTCTCTGTGTAGATTCCATACTTTGAAAGATTTAGAATGAAGTCAGCCAGAAAAAGTTCTGAGGGCTATATAACCAAAGAGTTTGGAACATTGGGGAAGATTCATGAACTTTCACACTTGAAGCAATTGTCCCAGTAAGCAGCACAAACCCCCATTTTAGGATTTCCATGGGAGACTAGGTAATAAGAAATAAAGGCAGATAATCAAAATCATCTTACCATATTTTGGAGGTTTGAAGATTCATCATTTTAAGATGGCAGTGGAGAACTCTTGGCATCTGGGGTAATTCCAGGAACTCACTCTCTTCTGAAATATCTTGGCAAGTTTTGGAGTACTGTCATGATTTCATGGTGTCATGTGGCAGCACCATCTCAAAGAATTCATTCAGACCACCTCTAATCCAAGTCCAGGCATTTATTGATGACTGGCACCCTACAGAAGCTGGCTAGGTTCAAAGAGGAACCGGCAAATTAGGAAGATAAGACAGGCAATTTTATGGTGTAATGATGCTGACTACACAACAGAAATTATGTTGGGCTAAATGGATGATTGGATCACAGTTGAGTACAAGGACACACCTATTCAAATATGTGAATTGGATCTGGGGTCAGTAGCTAGGTAGAGGATTGAGTCTGGGGACAATGGCTAGCTAGGGGCAGGGGCTAGATAGAGGCAGCAGCTATATTGAGTCTGGGGGCTTGTGATGGGTTGAAGCCAGATGGTGTAGCCAAATCAGGTCATGGCTGCTGTTCAGCGGGGCCCATGGGGAAGTTAGAATATTAGGACTTGGGGCAGCTTTATTGGCATTCCATCGGTACCACTCTGTAGAATTTGTTTTAAGGGAAAATAAGGGTTAAATTTTATAAAAGTCTAAAAAGTAAATGGCAAGATTAATACGTGTGTTGTTCCAGTTGCACAAATTTATTAGCTGTGTAATGTTAGGCAAGTTATATTAGCTCTGTTTGCCTCAGTTTCCTGATCTGTGAAGAGAAAAATCACAATGGTTCCCGCCTCCCAGGGTTCTTGGGAGATCAGGGGCTTTCTTCAGATGTTCCAGGAGTCCACACCCACAAGTTTGGCAGCCATGGGACTGGTCAGAGGAAGAAGATGGGGGGTGGGAAAGAAAAGAATCAGTCCACTTTTATCCGTATTGAACTACAGTTTCTTAAGAGATATCCGGGAGATGCCAGGAGAGGGCACGGATGGCCCAGCTTTGTCCTGCCATCACTTTCAGGAGAATTCTGCTCTGCCTCACCCTCTCCTAGCCATGCCTTTCCCCTCCCACCCAGGGGATGCTGGCTGCAGAGGATAGAAGGTATGAGGAGAACCAGGGAAAATCCCTCCCCCTGACCCCACCATGTTGGCCTCTGAAGCAAAGCCCCACTCACCCCACCCTAGTTACGGCTCTGACCAGGAGGGAACAGTGTCAGGAAGGTCAAGGCTGTGTCTAATAGGAGGGCTGGAGGGGCATGACCAGAGCCCTTCTCATCCCATCCCCCCATCTTCCCCTGGGGGGGCAGATGGTTTGGGGCTCACTCTCAGGACACACAGTCCCCTCCCAGTTAGGTGAGGAGATCAGGAGGTGTTTGTCTGAAAGCCTTTATTGCAAGACAAGGGTCAGGCCTGAGCCCTCACTGTTTGCCATTGCCATTGATGGGGAGACCAGTGTGCTGGGGTGAGGCCAGGAAGGCCTGGAGGTTGGGGCGGGAGGACAGCCGAGCTACATAGGCAGACAGTAAGGGGAAGGTGTCCAGGCAGCCCGGGGCCAGTGTCTGGTGAATCAGCAGCAGGTCCAGCAGGTTGTAATCCACAAAAGAGATCTGCAGGGCACAGGGGACCAGAGACCAGGTCAGCCAAGGGGAGCTGGGAGGGAGAGCAGCCCTGGGCTGGAAGCAGCAGGCTTGGCTCTAGGCTCCCCCAGGTCTGACGGTCTGGTCCCTATGGTCCCTCCCAGAGCCCCACCTGGTCCCCCAGAGGCTCACCTGGTCCCCCAGAGCCCCACCTGGTTCCCCCAGAGGCTCACCTGGTCCCCCAGAGCCCCATCTTGTCCCCCAGAGGCTCACCTGGTCCCCCAGAGCCCCACCTGGTCCCCCACAATAAAGGCCTTGCCTCCCTGGTTCTGCTTCAGCAGGGTTTCCAAAGGCTGCAGCTGAGTGGGCAGGTCCTTCACATACTGGTTCTTGCACTGCTCCTACAAAGCCAGAGGACCTCAGCTCAGTTATGAGACAAGGGAGAAGGGGGAGAAGTGGGAGCCCCAGGATGTGCCCAGACTTTTGCCTTCCCAGACTCCTATCAGGCCTCCCCGCCCAGGGAGGTTCTTCCTCACATCTGGGTGGCCAGGGCCTTCCCTGCCCTTGCAGACTGGCACCTCCTACACTGGCCATTGGAAGGAGAGATGGAGAAGACCCCAGTCCAACTGCTGCCTCACAACCTCTGTAGAATGGGGATCACATCAGCACCTCCCTAGAAGGGCTGTTGTGAGGATCACTGGAGTTAACTCTTGGGGGGGCAATAAAGACCAGGTGGGATAACCAAATGGAAGGGACAGGAGAAGGCCCCCCCCCACCCACTGAAGGGCTTAAAGAGGCCTGGGGCACCAACAAGGGTCAGAGGCCAGCATGGACTTGAACCCAGGTATTCCTTAGTCTGGGGTCAGCTCTCTGTCCCAACCAGCTCTCAGCCCTCCTGTCACTCACAAAATGGTGGTAGATGAGATCAAGGTACTTGAGCCAGAGCTCCTCCACCCCATCATTGGCCATGTCCAAGAGAGCACATTCTTGATCATCCTTCCCATAGAGCCCTGAGAAGGGGGGCGAGGGGAGAGAAAGGGTCCAGTCACCTTCCTTCCCATGGCCCCTCCCAAGGCTCTTCTCAGCTCCCCTCCCCAAGGCCTAGCTCCAATGTCACCAACTCAAGGAAGCCTCCCCTGGCCAACCTGGCGCAGCAGGGCTGCCTTCTGCACTGGGAACTCTTCCTTCAGCCAAATTGGCCCCCCTGGGAATTCATCTCCCACCTCCTGCCTGTGCCCAGGCTGTGCCCCCTCCCCCACTGGGCTGCTCAGGTTCTGGAAGGGAGGAGGGGGTTCCAAGAGGCAGAGCTGAGGAGGCTTGGCCAAGGGCCCTGCTGCAGAAGGCCTGCCTGGAACCTCACCTGTGATTACAAAATAACATTGTATTTCTTTGGTATTTCATTATCTGCCACCCTCTTCCCTCCCCACATAAGCTCCCTGAGGGCAGGCACTGCCTCATTTTTCTTTCACTCTATCTCCAACACAGTGCTTGGCACACAGTAGGCACTCAATAAATGCTGGGTGAATTGAATTGAAAGTGATTTGCTCTGGGCAGGAACCTTGTCTCCTCCCTCTATTCCAGCCCTGTCTGACCCAGGCCTGGGCCCAACTGCTGGATGGATGGGTGGAAGGAGGGATGGAGGAAGGGAGGAATATGGATAGAGAGATGGATGGAGATAAGGAGGGGGGGAAGGAGGGATGAACCAGGCCTGGACCCACAGAAGGGGCTCAGTAACTGCTGGACAGAGGGAGGGAGGAGGAATATGGACAGATGACTCCCACGTGACAGCTCTACCCCACCCCCACCCCGGGAGGCAGTGGCCATACCATGTTTGCGCCCCAGGTATCTCAGGATGGCGTTGCTCTGGTACAAGGTGAAGGCTCCGTCCGTGAATTTGGGGAACTGCTCGGAGAACTACGGAGCAGAGGGCAGGGGAAGGAGCTGAACAAAATGCCCCTCCCAGACACCTGTCCACCTTCTACCTCTCTGTCTCCCAGAACCCCCCAATGCACGCTCACCAACCACCCCCTTCCCCGCTGCCCGTCTCCTCTCCAGCCCTGGCCACTCACACTGAGGGTCTTGAATTCCCCCTCCTCACAGAGGTCATGGAGCAGTGGGTCTTCGTGCCAGTCCTGGCCCTGGTCAGCCAGGAGCATTCGAATGGCCTCATATCGCCCTGGAAGGAAGGCCGGGGACAAAGGAGCTCAGCCCCAGGCTGGACCGCCCAAGGACAGCCGGCACGGAGAGGGAAGGACAGCGCCTCCTGACCACTGGGGTCCCACTTGGACAAATCCCTCCCCCTCCCTGAGCCTCAGTTTTCTCTTCCGTAGAATCCAGGTGCCGAGGTCTAGGACGTGGAGAGAAGGCCTCCACGTTTCTCTCTCACGTCCCTGCGGGGAGGTGGGCTCCTCTCCAGGGTCACCGAACCCTGCCGCCCCCGGTGCTGGGAATGCGAGTCACCTCGAGTACGGTAGTAGGTGATGTTGTAGAGAGGCACTAGGAGAGATGGACAGAGCAAGGTCAAGGGGGCCCTGCGCTCCCTGCAGCCCCTTCCCCAAAAGCCCTCCCCACCCATTCCCTGATCACCCTCCCGTGGGACGCCCGGCCTTACTCTCTGGAGATAGCGGCCCCTACCAGAGGAGTGCAAGCAGGTAGCCGGATCCCAGGAGCCACCCAGAGCTTAATATGCCCTGACCCCACCTCGGCCCCACCCCTGAGTCCACCTTTCTCCCCTTCCTTCCTCCGCGCCCCTCCGTGGGCCCCATAATGTGGTGAGTCACTTAGGCACCTGCACGGAGGGACACGTGTAAGGGCAGGGGCAGGGGGGAGGAGCTGAGGAGGGGCTCAGGGAATAAAATAGTGAGGTATAAATGGGCACTAATCAACCCAGGGAAAACCCTGGCATTAAGGGGGAGGGGGAAAGGCTTCTTGTAGAAGGTGGGACTTGAGGAGGGAGGGGATTCCAGGCATGGGGTCCAGCCAGGGCAAACGTCCGGAGACAGGAGGTGGGAGTCTCATAAGGACAAAGTCACAGCACCATGGAGGGGAGGAAGGTGTTGGAAGACTGAGGAGGTAGGAGGGGACCAGGTCGTGAAGGGTCCCGGGGAGAAAGCCAAGGATTTAAGAATCAGAGGACCTGCCTTGGAATGCCAGGGCTGCCACGTATTTAACCCAGGGTGAAATTGTTCCGGGCCTCAGTTTCCACATCTGTAAAAGGAGGGAGTTAGATCCCATGACCTCTGAGGTCTCTTCCAGCTCTGGTGTTATGACCCGATGACCCAAGTAGCACTCCCAGCAAATGCTCCTCCAGCCTCTGTTTGGAGACTACCTGTGATGGGGAGCTCATTTCTGCAGCCATCTGCAGCAGCCGCTGAGGTTTCTACCCTGACTCGAGTGTACAATAGACTTCAAACCGCAAAAGGAAAGCAATCTGCAACCTCATTTGTTTGCTAAGGGGAGGCCATTGCTTCGACAGCAGCAAAGCTGATGACAGGATCCCACAGGTCTGAACAAAACTAGGGTGGGGCAGCTGGGCTTCTGCCCAAGAGCACCAAAATGGAGAGGGCACTGACAGTATTAGATGTACTGAGCTGAGGACCTAGTTAGCAGAGCTGCACCATGGGGTTATCTCTTCCGTGGCCCACTCCACCTTGCTATCCCCCCAACTTCAGCACCCTCAACAGTAACCTCTCACCCTTAATCAAATAGTCCTGGCTGAAAATAGGTAATTACATCTCTGGCCCGTACATGTGCATGTGTATTACTGGTCCGGCGGTGAAGTATATATGGCATATGAAAACCTTATTGGAGGAAAGTCAATTGGTCCAATCACTCTGGAAAACAATTTAGAATTAGGTGGGAAAAATCAGTCCATCATCTATAGCCTTTAACCCATCCATCCCAATGTGGGTCATACATTTCAAGGGGATGGTGGGAGCTGAAACAAGATATGTCCATTCTCCATCTTCTCCATCCGGGATTTTTGTAGGTCATTTTTAATATGGAGTGTTAGAGCTGGAGGGCACCTTAGAACCTTGAACCCCAACCCCTCTCTTACCTCCCACTTTATTGAGAAAACTGACGCTGTGTGTGTGTGAGAGAGAGAGAGACAGAGACAGAGAGAGAGACAGAGACAGAGACAGAGAGACAGAGAGTTTTCTTCCTTTATGTTCTTCCTCTGATTCACTTACTTCTCTGCATCTTTTCCTCCTGTTATGATTCCTTGTGCGTCTTCCCTTTTGGAAAACTCTCCCTGCCCTTTCACTGTTTCTTTCTCAGGGGAATCCACCTGAGGCTTGCCTGCTGGTTTTCCTTCCCTATCTGTCTCAAGAATCATGCCAGACTTTTCTCAGAGTTGCTTTGATGGAGATTTTTAGAGGGTCTGGAGGTCTTATACTTGAGTTCCATTTTGGCATGCAAAGGCTTTGTAAAGTTGCTAGATTGAAATTGTCAGTTTTACCTTCTGGGATCCCCTGTATCCCTTATTTAGCTTAGGATTCTCTCCCTGACTCAAAATCTGAAAGGAACTTTTTCACTTTCCTCCTACCTTCCGTTTCCTTTCTTTCCTGCTTTTTATAAATGTCAATATGCATATAATTCAAGTCAACCTACTCAGCTGGGCTGACAGCATCGCACTTTTCAAGCCCCACTAGGTAAGTTCAAGTTTACAGACAGACAGTGTCTGCCTGCTGCCTGATCTTCCCCTACTCTGCTCCCATTCCTGCAGAGATGGAAGGGGACCCCAGCCCTGAGGGCCATTCAGCAGTTTTTCTTTGTTTTTTCCAGCTTCCAGACCAAGAACCCAGGACCCAGGATCACCCTTCTGGGGATGGGCCTTTCTATCCTTCTCTAGGCTGCTCCTAGAAAAGTGTGCATTGTCTGTCCTTCCTCACAGCTGTCCAAGTCACCTTCCTAAGGCACAGGCCCCACCTTGCCACTCCTTGGCTCTAACCTCTTCAGGGGCTCTGCAGGGTTCTACAATTTACCCCTTCCTAGCCTGGCACTTCAGGCCCTGAGCTCCCTGGCTCCTACCTCTCTGTTCCAATCTTGTCTCATATCAGCCTCTTCACCAGCTCTATTCTGCAGCCACACGGTGTTGCTGGCCATTCACTGACTTTGACCCTCCTTCCTCTCTGTCCCTCCATCTGCACAACAAGGTCATGGCACCTGAAGTGTGCCCCCTCCTCATTGCCCCCTCTCAGAATCCTTGTGGAAGAGCCTTCCCCAAGCCCCACAGTGCTTACTGCACTCTCCCTTGTCAGCTTCCCTATTTCTTTCTAATTTGTCTGTGTCTTGTATCTGCCCCTTCCTTCCCTCTCTCTCTCCCCCTCCCCAAATAGAACAAAAGCTGATTCAGGGCAATGATTGTGCCCAGCACATAGGAGACATTTGCTTAACTGAATTGAACAAAGAATATCACAGAAAAGAGGGACCTGGAACATGAACTGTCAGATCTGGGAGGGACCTTAGAACATGTAATGTCCAGTCTGGGAGGAACCTTAGAACACAGAATATCTGGGCTGAGAGGAGTATTAGAACCTAGAATGTCAGGGAAGGGAGGGACCTTAGAACATGGAACAGAATGTCAGGGCCAGGAGGGACCTTCTAACCTAGAGCATCTGAGCTAGGGGCAGAGGAAGTCTCAGAACAGAGACTATTCCAGCTGAGACCCAGCTCCTCACTATACACAGGGAGATAATGAAGCCAAGACAGAGGGAGGGAGTAAGCCTTTCTATATTGCCTCCTCCGTACTAGGCACTTTACAAATATCCCGTTTCATCCTCACAACAACCCAGAAAGATAGGTGCTATTATTATCCCCATTTTACAGAAGAAGAAACTGAGGCAGGCCAAAGTTAAATGACTTGCCCAGGATCACACAGCTAGTGAGAGTCTGAGGCTGGACCCAAACTCAGGTCTCCCTGACTTCAGGCCCAGCACTCTATCCACTGTGGCCTCACCTAGTACAGGTGAGTGAGTGTTCCTCACCCTGGCCCCTTTCCCACAGCTATTGTAGTTGGATTCCAGAGAAGACTTAAAGGTTTACACAGGGCAGACCAACTATATGTCACTTCATCTGACCTTCAGTAATTGGACCTGCTTCATTTCTTGGGAAATTTCTGAAGGGCTTGATGTGGTGTTTGCCAGAAAGGGCTGGAGGGGAGCCTCTCCCCTGCTCGTCTCCTCCCTCTTCCTCCCCTCCACGGCGATCATCCATCTCCCTCCACCTGAGATCAGGAGTATTCCCAGGCTTCTTCCTCCACCCTCGTGTTCTGTGGGTGAGTTCGTTGGCTTCCATGGCTTCAGATCTCTTCACAGATGGTTCCCCAATCTACATCTTCAGATGTAATCCCAGGCCCGAGCAGAGGGCTGCTTCTAACATGTCAATATCTCATTGATTTCTTCCCCCTTCCAGATTTTATCTACTCCAGGAACATCTCCTTTCATAGAAACACTCAAGGTCATACCTGGAGTTAAGATTATTTGGGTCCATGTGGGACTTTTATTTCTGCCTTTGCCATTTGTGGGGCATGTCTCCAGTACTGAGATCTCTGGTACAAAGGATATGGAAGATTTATTTTTTAATTTAATATTTACCCCAATTGCATGTAAAAACAATTTTTATTATTGATTTCAAAAAGCTTTGAGTTTGGAATTCTCCCCCCCCACTTCCTCTCATTGAGAAGGTAATCCATTTGATAATAGGTTATATTTGTGTAGTGGTGCAAAACATTTCCATGTTAGTCATGTTGTGAAAGAGAAAACTCAAGAGAAAGAAAGAACGCAAAGAAAAAGTTTGCTTCGATCTGCATTCACACTCTGCCGGTGCTACCTCTGGAGATGGACAGCATTTTTCATCATAAGTCCTTCACAATTGTCTTGGATCATTGGATTGCTAAGAATAGCTAAATCGTTGCCAGTTGATCTTAACGCCATTACTGTGTACAGTGTTCTACTGATTCTGCTGAATTCACTTTATAACAGTTCATGTAATCCCTTCCAGGATTTTCTGAGAGTATCCTGCTTGTCATTTCTTATAGCACAGTAGTATTTCATCACCATCATATAGTGTGTCAATAATTTAGTGATCCAACCTCAGACACATCCTGGCTATGTGACCCTGAACAAGTCACTTAACCTTGTTTGCTCCAGTTTTCTCATCTGTCCTCACAACAGTGTTTCCATGAATCTGTCTTCCTACAGCCTCTCAAAAGAAGAGTTGAAAGAAAGAAAGAAAGAGAAAGTTGCGTCGCCCAATTGGCCAGCTTGGTGCTCAGTGGGTCAGCTCCTTTTCTACTCACAGAGGTTGTTGTTTGTCCTTAGTTCTCCAAGAAGACTAGGACATCAGGGAGGTGAAGCCATGACATGCATGAGTTGGATTTAAGTGAGGATGGGCTGTGCAAGGTCACCAGCCTCTCTCTCTCCTCCTGAGCCGTCTGGTCCATTGATGAGATATAGATCAGGACAACTGGAGATGGCCCAGGGTGCAGTAGGGGA